CTAGAATGCTTATCTTCGAACTCGACCTGTCTTTTCATAGAACAAAACGACCCTGAAAATCCCAGGTCGCTCACTCAATTCGTTCTCGAGTTATCGTGCGGACAGACAGACAGACAGACAGACAGACAGACAGACACACAGACAGACAGACAGAAAAAGTTTTTTCCGACCAGACGGAGTAATAAGCTTCACTAATCGCTCACCCAAAAAAAACAAAACAACAATTGGTTCAAATGGTTGGTGAAATATTCACTAAAATCTATCTAACTCAAAAGGCGCGGCAATCAATTTTTGGCTGAGTGATGAGCGAAGCCCATAACTCCACTGACCGGAAAAGTTTCATTCTGTTTGTCTGTCTGTCTGTCCGCACGATAACTCGAGAAAGAATTGAGAGAGCGATCTGGGAATTTCAGGGTCGTTTTGCTCTATGAAAAGACAGGTCGAGTTCGAAGATGATCATTGTAGCTCAAATATTGACTTTTAAAAAAAATCAAAAACCACAGGACGCAAAATATATTTTTTTTCAAGTATTTTTTATGGGTCCCTAAGGGGTAACTCGTGAAAGTACAGCCCTACGGGTGAAAATTGCGTCCGTTTTGCTCTATCTTGTACCACTTGGGTGCTGGAGTGCATTTTTTGACAAATATAAGGTGAAAACGACTAAAAATGGTCTATCAAGTCGTAAAAAAGGCATTTTATTGGAACATTTTGCAGGAAGTAATAAAAAATCTTTTTAAGTAATTTGAACGATTTGAGAAGACTAAATCACACTTATGGCATTCTGTTGTTAAGATCGAAATATTTTAATGTTCTAGTCTTTTCTCCTTATTTTTTAGTTGATACTCAAAACTCAATATGCCACGTGAATTTTTAATGCCGTCCCTCTGCCATGCAAACTGGCAACGAAAAAATCGTGACATTCTATTTGCGTTAAATCGCGAAAAATTTATACAGTGTGCTGCGTCGTGATGAAATAACGTTTAGGGGTGACGCACCTGATGAACCTTGTTGATGAATAAACAACAACAAAGGACTGCCTTTCAATTTCAGAGATTAAATTTGACAGTTTTACTGCGGCACGATTGTAGCAATTTAAACGACAAAGGAAAAGGTATCCAAATGTTGGCCCACATATGAAACTACGGGCATGGATGATCTGAATCATGCACTGATCCAAAGAACGCCCTACAGAATATTTTTTTTACTGTGTAGGGTAGAGGTTAAACAGCAGCTAGCTTGACAGGGAAAGGGGGGGGGGGAGTCCCGTCCTCTCGGTGGCACTTGTCACTCACTGCACGGCATGACGGGGGCCGGACCACACCTAATTCTCAGATTCAGTCAACATGCGAACGGCTATGGTCAGCCTCGTGATCGGGGTACTGGTTCTCGTCGTAACCACAAAGGTATCTTGGCATGTATCTTTTCCCCTATTGCCAGGATTCCAGCTAGGCATAAACCTATCAGCATCCTTTTCCTTAGTAATCTACTTTACACCTTTTCCTCCGTAAGCATTACACAAAAGGTCCTTCTAAGTACGGTCCCCGTGGCCACTATAAAAAGTTTGCTTTTGTGTGAAATACTTTTTGCGGTTTCCCTTCGACATTTGAAGTCGTTCTCATATAGCGATGCAGGAACGCGTGCCCCAGAAGTCTTTCGGGTTTGACCTAAAAATGATATATTACAAAGAATAATACTGAACTTCGAATCAAATTCGACATACTTTTGGTCTCAGACTATAATGATCCAGAAATGTGTAGCTGGGGTTAGGTGGGTTTAGGTGTGTAGTTCTCAAGAAAAAAGATAGATATAGGGCCTGTTTACGACTTAGACTTTTGCCCGACTCGTATGTCTGCGCCGCTGGCCCAGGTAGATGTATGCCACGCGCGTCGGAGCGTATCAGGTATCAGTGTCTCGTGAAATATCGCGAAGCTTGTTGAGCGCAATACGTGGTGTGGCGTTCGTTTACCCAGTTATTACGCTATATCAGAGCTGGACGTGAGGAGTGAAACGGAAAAATGAAACACACCTTTCACTCTGCTCGCTTAACCCTCTCCGCGTATGAGCAGTGCGCCTTATGTTCTTTTACTGCGTGAACGGAAATGAGTTGTATCACCTCACCTTTGACAAAAGTCGTCTAAACCTCAAACACGTATTTTGTTTCAGCGTGCTCCTAGACCGGGGCAGTCCACCAAACTCATGTTCCAGTGGTTGGACATAGTCGAGTGCCCTGAACTCAAAGGACAAAACCTCAGCGTTGTGCTCCGCTACAATAAGAACGGCGACGTGTACGCTGACACCGAGTGGAATGTGGTGAACGCTGCGAAGAAGCTCGTCAAGGTGAGCAAAAGAGATCCAGTGAATTTTAGCGTAAATAATGTGTGAACACACACTAATTCCTTGTACTCTTAAAGTGGAGGGCTAACAGGGTATTTTAAGTGAGCGGAGCGGCGGAAACAGAACTACTCAGTCCCTCGCTGGTTCCGTCTATAGCACTGCATAGTGGTCAAAAGCGGCAATAAGTGTTCGTTTTGAAAATACCCGTCAAGTATCTAAACTGTTTGGTTTACATGTATATAAAGCATCAGACTTTTATATTCAAACAATTAAAACGTCCTGGACTGTCGCAGTTATTTCTAAACTCGATGCAAAAGTTGCGGTGCGGCTGAGAGGTTAGTCGGCGCCGGGCGGACGAACTTTTACGCTTACTTTGACCTCTTCTTAACAGTATAACGTTGCAAACGAACTGAAAACGTTGTGTGCCACCAGAAAGGGCGTACTCCCACCTTCTCTCTCATATGAGGCACGACTCGTTAGAATGAGAATTACGCATTTAACATCCATTTATAAATATACAGGAAATCTCGCCGACCAGCCGTCAAGGGTGAAATGCTCACGTAAGTCGCCGTGAAAGCTTAGAGGTCTTTTGAGGCCTGAGCATGACCATGACCTTTCCTCCTTCCTTTGGGGTTTGTTGAGGAAACGGGAGATTGCAGGACAATCCTGGAAGCTTCTTTTATCAATATCAACAAAGACATTTTGCGTAAACTTGCGTAAACGGGGAAAATGTGAGTTTTTCTTGGGTGATGCTGCGCGACCACATAGTTGTGTTTAAATGCATGCCAAAGGCAGAATCATATCTATATATCTGTTACGGCTAATGTCGGGTCCCCGGCTAAGGTCCGACTCTAGCCGGCTAAGGTCGGTCCTAGCCGAAATTTCGGCTAAGGTGTACAGTGCCCCCGACTCATTCCTACATTAGCCGGCTAAGGCTGGCTGGGACCTACCTTAACCGGTTAAGGTAGACCTTAGCCGGCCTAGAGCGGCTAAAGTAGTCCCTATCTAGCGCGGCTAAAGTAGTCCCTATCTAGCGCGGCTAAAGTAGGGGGAAGTTTCTTATGCTCATGTCTCAACCTATTATAGGGCGCGTTCAATATTCGAGGTTTTTGAGTGTAAGTATGCCTCTAGCCGGCAGTGACTCGACTCAGACATAACAGCGCGCTATTGAACACGCCCTATTGTTGTAGAGGTGGTGGGGGTTGGGTGGTTGCCTGGCGCTAGTTTTAAACCTTTAAACAATCTTGTCACTCGAGGCGTTGAACACACACGTTGAAATGGAGCATCCTGAAGATCTTCCCCCCAACCGGGAAAAATTCGAAGAAAAGCTGGCAGCCATAACGGAGAAGAAGGGCATTAATGCTGCGTATTTGTCGGAGGAGAAATACGCGAAAGTGGTGCAGGAGGTGAAGGGGGCAACGGAGAAGAAAGTTGGAAGGACAAAGAAGGACCGCGACCGCATCAGGAAGTACTCCATCTGCACGGTGAACGGACAGGAGCGGCTCATCGAGCCTCCAACTGGAGGCGACATCAAGTATTACGTGAGTAACGGCGAGATGTACGACGCCCTCATGGAGGCCCATTTGGCGGTTTCTCACGGAGGGAAGAACCGCATGCTGCCCATCCTCGGGCGAAAATACTGCAATGTAAGCCAAGAGGCCGTCCTGCTATTCCTGTCTCTGTGTGGCATTTGCTTGGCGAAGAAGAAGCCAAAGAAGAGAGGGATTGTGGTAAAGCCAATGGTGTTCGAGGAAATGAATCAGCGCTGCCAGGTCGACCTCATTGACATGCAGAGTCACCCGGACGGAGCATACCGATTCATCTTCGTGTATCAGGACCATCTCACCAAATTTGTAGTCCTGCGCTCCATCCTGAAAACACCCAGTCAACGCCAGTCTACGTCCGCTCTGCAGAACACTCCTGTCTCAACGCCGCGTTTCGTCGGGTTTCCTGCAGCATCCCAAGTCCCTGTAGCAGCTGACGACGAGGCTGTTTCGCTGTTCTGCTGCAACCAGTGTGGAGAGGCCTGCAGCGCGCATGAGGAATGCAGCGAGTGCGGCACGGGGCTGCACCCGCACTGTGCGAGGGGTGGCAAGTGCGGCAATTGCTCACGGGCTGCTGCTGTGCTGGAGCTGAGGTCGACTGCGAGGAAGAACCTTCAAAAGCAGGCGCAGACGATGCAGAAGATTTCGGACGCCAAGTTTCCCCCCGCGTCCGTCGGGGATACGGTCACTGTGTCCGTTCCTAAGGTGGACAGAGGTCGAGGGGACCCCAGAAATGTGGTTGCGGTTGTTCTCGAGGCCACGGAGGACGGTTTCTACAAACTTGGAAACAAGGACGGCGTGCTTGCTTCCATGTATGCTAGAAACCAGTTCGACGTGGTCAAAGAGAAGTTCGTTTCCACCGAAGTGGTCCCCGAGACTGAGCACGCCTTTAGGACCGCGGCTACAAAGGGCTCTATCCTCGGCGGGCAAGGGTTTAGAAAGTGCAATTGTAATGGGAAATGTACAACAAACAGGTGTGCCTGTAGAAAGGCTGGCGAATTATGCAAATCCCAGTGTCATGGCGGTAGGCCTTGCTGCAACAAAGGTTGAGTTGAGAGAAAATGAATAAAATGAGCAACACTTCCCCACACAGCCCTCCTCTTTCCCCCTTTGACTGTACGACTTTAGCCGCGAAGAATAGGCTAAGGTCGGTCCTAGCCGAGTTGCGCCGGCTAAGGTTGACCTTAGCCGCAATTTCGGCTACGGTTGATCCCAACCGACCTTAGCCGGCTAGGGTCGACATTAGCCGGGGACCCGACATTAGCCGTAACATATCGACGTATGTTAGGCTAATGGAAGTAGGATAAATTCCCTTACCCGTTTGTTTATGGATTGTGTCTGTTTGCGCATCCGAAGAGCACCTGTTCTTACTTCGACCACGTTTGGTACGTGCACCCGAAAATAAACTGCGATGATTCCGGTTAAGAGGGCGAAACTATACGTGATGACCGCTTAGCACACCCACATAGATGACATTTCGGCAGACGTTGTGTGGTTTGTCGCGGACAGAAGGGATGAAAACTAAAGTTACAATTTTGAAGCGTTTTTAGGCTTTGGCAGGGAGAGGGTTAACTGTTACAGTGCTGAGTTTTGTAGAAAATTTGAGACGAACGGCAGTTAGTACACAATGACAGCAAAAAAACATAAAAGTTTATGGAATTCGGCCTCGGGATAGGCTGCACCCTCGTGAGTAAATAAAAGTGTAAGGGACGGTGGGAGTGCGTGCCGGATTTCGGAATTTGGCTATAAAAGTGAAGCTCTGCAAAACCGATAGGTAAACTGGACGCAAGAGGATGGATTGAACCATTACAAAACCATTGCCCGGCCCGAGGCAGTGTGTAATGGCGGGCAGTATATAACAAAGGGAAGAATTGAGTTCCGAGGGGGAACCAACTTTGAAATTTGGTGAACTGTGAATATATTCAAATATTCAATATCACTGAATACCAGTGAATATCACTGAATACCAGTGAATATTCACTGTGATTGTTGATTAATATCCTTGAATATTGATGAATATCGATGAATATCGATGAATATTTTGAATATCTTGTGAATATTCGCAAATATCACCTGAATACCTATTAGATAGTAACCAGCGGGTGCACCGTGAATAGTCGAAGTTGATGCCCCCTCGTTGAGTTCGAGAGACAGCTGGGACCAAAAACCAGCTTCTCGCTTTCTTTACAAGCTGCTGATATAGTAACAAGTTTTTCAACAAAATTCATTGTTGTGAATAGATTTTTCTTTAATTTTATTTGTACCCGGGTGAAAAAACATTGACAGTAAGTTTGTATACAGAGGTATACAAGTAATTGTATAAAGCTGTATAAAGGTAATTGTATTACATTTGGTAAAACTGTATTACTTTGTCAGTATACATTTTTATAAAATATTATACAATATATACTTGAGCGTTTCAATTAACTCACGGGAAAAGCGGCCTGAGTGGGTGGCTGTCGTTTTTAGCAAATATGTTTTCCGAATCATCTTTCTGCCCTGAGCACGATAGTGGTTGTTTCACTTCCCTATGTGTAGCCGTTTACAAGTTATGCTGTATTTTAGAACTCAACCACATTTTGCCTACATTTAGAGGAGTGCCCAGAAACGTTACTAGTCACTGTATGAATGTATGTGCCTGTATACATTCTAATGTAGGGCAAGGTGACATTTATTCACATTTATGTGGCTGTATACATTCGTGAGGTACAACGATGCTCTAATATACGTCGCTTTATATATGGTACGTGTATTGTATATACATTGTATTTGATTTTATAAAAACGTATACATGCCTCTGTATATAGTTGTATAAAGTTTTACCAAATATTATACACATTTGTAAAACACCCTTTATATCGCTATATTACGGTGTACACAATCATATTCAATTTTATGAAAGTATATCAATTGTAATAAAATTTCTTAGTGAATTGTATACAAACCGTTTCACCCGGGTAAACACCAAATTAATACTTATTTTTGATATATTTTGTGAATTTGGACAGTACAGAAACAATTGTGCAACACCTCGGTTGAACACTTCACTGTAAAAAATGTTCGGATTTTTGCCATACAAGTGTTTGGGAAAAATCCCATACGCGTGTTGGACGCGAAATTTTCTACACTTGTGTAGGATTTTTACTATATACGAAATACTGTATAGGGAAAAACCGATATGTATGTGAAAAATCCCACACTTTTGTGGCAAAATGCCTGGGAGTGTTTAGGAAGAACTTTTCACATACAAGTGTGGGAATTTTGCTATTTTTATCTTGAAAATTTCCGACAACGCTATAGTAAAATTACAGTTCATGATTTTTGGACACATCAGTCCTGCTGCTTGGGTACAATTATTCAGCAGTCTCGTTGCCCTGCTGGGGCCTCAAAGGAATCATATTGTGTCGAGAGTGCTTCTCAAGAGAAATGAAATATATCAAAATAGGGCACAGAGTTTAATATCATTCCCGAAATCATAACATGCATTTAGAAATCCCTTACGCCAAGGGCAGGTGGCCGCCGCCCGCACCTGGCCTCTAATAATGGCCGGGTGGGGCCGGCCGCGCGGCTCTGGGATGACCCGGGGACGCGGGACGCTACGGCCTCTCTCCCAACAAGTCCCCGTGGTCTAGTGGTCAGCGTGGCAGCATCGCAACCCAGAAGTCCGAGGTTCAACTCCGCGTCCGGTAAAGTATTTAGTAAATAGAATTGTGAACTTAAATGTAAATTACGAGGAGTGAGGGTGCAGTAAGAGTAGGATCCGAGTCCACAGCCCCAAAAATATCATTTTTCCTTTAAAAAATTCGTACGGGAAAAATCCCACACCTGTCAAGGAAATCTGCTGCACTCGTATGGGATTTTTCCCACACACTCGTATAGGAAAAATCCTACACTTGTCTCGTAGATCTGCTGCACGCGTATGGGATTTTTCCCACACAGTCGTATAGGGAAAATCCTACACACTGTATATGTAATTTGCTTCAGACACATTTATGGGATTTTTCCGACACATATTTTTTACAGTGAATTCCTTATATTGGACGCTTACTGTGCAGAAAGTGCTCAACCGAAAGAAAACGAAAATGTTTTATGCTCAAAGACCGTCGGAACCAAAATTGCAGAGATATTCCCCACCAAATTGGGCCTTTGGTCGCTTTTGGCACGTTTTGTCAGTTTGGGGACCAATAACTTTGCTATTGTGACTCCGTTCGGCTTTGAGCGTAGGACATTTCCTTTCTAATTTTGAAAAAGGAATGCAAATCTTGTATTTCACTTATAATTTTGAAACTTTTAAAAAACTCCTAATTTTGAATTTTGTTGTTTTAACAAAATGGAATGGTGTTTACTTGTAGAATGATTGGAAGTCACCTAATCTTTCAATAGGACTTGTTTAAACGATTATTAAACACACAATTTATTTTCACAACAGCCATGGACTTGCAAGGGACCGAACAATGTTATAGCCAATACACCTGGACTTGACAAATCCCACTGTTGGACTTACGGTCCCCTGTCAGAGTATGTCTGGACTCATGTTTCTCTGTCATATCCCACTGGTTGACTAACGTTCCTTTGTCAAATCCCACTGGTGAACTTATGTTCCTTTGTTAGCTCATGCATGGACTTGCGTTCCTTTGTCAGATCCACGGGGGGGGAACGAAACACAAAAGTCACTCTAAAATCTGTTCTTATTGAAATAGAGCTGCATACGTTTCGCAGAGAAGTAATGCATCCCTAAACAAAACATTCTGTGAAGGAAAAAGTAATCTAGCTTCAAAACTGTAGCAGCCAGACTAGAATTAGACACACTTTTAGCCCTCCTGAAAAATGAGCTCGAGTGGACTTAACCCCTTTGTCAAATAATCAGTGATATGAAATTACACAAAAGGGTAAATTAAGTAGGGGGAGGGCAGTAGGGATAAGAAGGGACAGTAGCAGACATAATCTGCAGGTGAACTTCAGCAACGCACAAATTTACCCCTTCAATTAACTCACGGGAAAAGCGGCCTGAGTGGGTGGCTGTCGTTTTTAGCAAATATGTTTTCCGAATCATCTTTCTGCCCTGAGCACGATAGTGGTTGTTTCACTTCCCTATGTGTAGCCGTTTACAAGTTATGCTGTATTTTAGAACTCAACCACATTTTGCCTACATTTAGAGGAGTGCCCAGAAACGTTACTAGTCACTGTATGAATGTATGTGCCTGTATACATTCTAATGTAGGGCAAGGTGACATTTATTCACATTTATGTGGCTGTATACATTCGTGAGGTACAACGATGCTCTAATATACGTCGCTTTATATATGGTACGTGTATTGTATATACATTGTATTTGATTTTATAAAAACGTATACATGCCTCTGTATATAGTTGTATAAAGTTTTACCAAATATTATACACATTTGTAAAACACCCTTTATATCGCTATATTACGGTGTACACAATCATATTCAATTTTATG